TATCTGAAATGATAAAAATAAAGACAAATATAAAAGATAATTTTTCCTATTTTCAATGGCTTTCATACATTATTACTATGCTTATTTAGTTCACTATTAAAGGTATTAAGTATCCAAAAGTAAAATAGATACAAATAATTCAAATGTTAGAGGGAAAATTAGACATGCTTATATATGATTCTAAAGGACTACATTGTGTGTAAAATGACTATTATCACATAATGATAGATGTGAAACTTAGAGACCCGTATGGCAAACCTTAGAACAAATATAAACTTAAAACCAGTATCATTAATAAATAAATAGTTGATAAAATAATAAAAATGTTTAATCATAACAAAAGAAAAAATTAAAAATGGAAAAAAGAAAATTATCAATATAGTAATTGAAATTTGATAATACCAATTACTATGTTCAAGAAAAAAAATCTATAAGTTATCAGTTAAATGGCAGAAAAGCTCAGAATGAAGTGAAATTGAACAATATGCTCTATAAGAAACCAACTTTAAATAGGAAGACATAGATTGGCTAAAAGTAAAAGAATTCATTTGCTAATAAGGACAATTTGACCTCATCCTTTCCAGTCTAGATGCTCTATATTTCTTTCTCTTTTCTCACTGGTATGGCTGGAACTTCCAGTACTACATTAAATAACAGTAGTGAATGGGGGCCTTCTTGTCGTATTCCAGATCTTGGAGGAAAAGTTGTCCGCTTTTCCCTATTAAAGCATGATACTTGCTGTAAATCTGCCATAGATGGGTTTTATCATTTAGAGGTAAGTTCTTTCTATACACAGTTTTTAACAAAAACAACCAAAGTTGCAAATTTATAAAATCCTGATTTAAAGATTATTTGTGATGCTAAAAAAAGTCAAGATTTTACAGTATCAAAACATAAACATATAGATAACAAAACACAAGAGAAAAACCAGACACAGAAAAATAGATGTGGTTAATTGAATTTGAAAAAGGTGCTAAATTAAATCAACAGAGAGAGGATTACCTTTTCAACAAATCATACTTAAATGGTTAGATATCCTATATAAAACTCACTCAATCTATTTAGTCTCAAACTAAATCATAGCTCTATAAATAAAATCTAAATCTATAAAATTTCTAGAAAAAAAGAATAAAACTATCATGAAGTTACCTAAAGCAAAGATTTCTTACATATGACAGGAAAAAACAAACTCTAAAAAAATCTGATGAGAGGAACTTCACTAAATTGAATACTTTCATTCACTGATAGATATACTTAAAATAAAAAGACAAACCACACAGTATGAAGAAAAACATTGCAAAATCCATATCTGATATGTAAAGAATCCCTACCACTCAATTACGATAAAACTAACTAAGAAATGGGCAAAAGTTTTGAATAAACATATCACATAAGAAGAAATATAGGTGACAAGTAAAAGGCTAAACATCATAAATTATTAAAGAACTGAAAATTAAATCCACAATGTGACACTGTTATCTAATCAATTGGTTAGAGTGGAAAAGAACTCAAAAAGGAAATGAAAAGGATGTGCAAGAAACTTCTCCAGAGAATGACTCAGACATTAGTGTACGTGGAGCATCTTGGGTCAAGAAGTTAGGGAAGAGGTAAGATAAGAGCACAAAGCTTAGCCTCCCAACACCGGTGGGTATGAATATAACCCATCAGACACTTTTCTCTGCGTAAAGCAAATGTGATTCAAACCTCAGGGTGTCAACTCTGAATTTTAACCAAGAGTTTAAGGGTCAAATAAATAATAAAATTACTCATAAAATGATTAATAAAATTAAATATTTCTGTTTTTCGGATCCAGAATTGATTTCTATCTCCCCCAAATCTGAATGTCAATGTGAAATATGCATTATTGGGGTCACTGTTTTTCTCTCATTTCCTAAGATGAAATTGAAAACTATTCCACCTTCCATGCTTATTTTTTTGATGTGTATAATCTAGGTAGAGCTGCCCAGATTATCACAGAAGCTGCTCCTTGATATTGATATTAGAGTTAAGTGATATTAGGGTTATGTGTCAAGATATTAGAGTTGATATTAGAGTTAAGTGTCAAGAGAACCTTTGGAACATTATACAGAATTATTTTTTACCTGTAAGAGTAACTGACATCAGCATCTCTCTGAAGAAATTCTTGTGTTATAACAACATTAGGATTTTGTTTTGTTTTGTTTTACAAGAAAGGCAAAATCCCTCCCGGAGTCAACCGTTGTTTAGACCAGCAGCCATATGAATACCAATTTAGTCACTCCAAAATTAAATTTTTATTTCTCTTTAGGTAGAAAACACATTAAATTTATCCTGGCCTTGGCTGATTGTGTGCAGCTCTTTGCAAAGGAAACTCTTTTACTTAAGTTTCACTATCACTCAGAAATCTTCCCAGGCTACATCATGACATGTATTGGGGAAATCTGTTGAGTCATCAATCTGGAGAGAAACTGCTATTGTTTGCGTATTACACAAAACCTCTTTGGCCTGGTGCGACATGTCATCAGCACGTCAACTCACTGTACTCAGAGCCAGAGTCTTCAATTTCTCATACTGCATCTTGTCCAAACGTTTTGCTCACTATAATTTTACATGCTGACATTATTAGTTTTTCACCAGCTGTGTAACTTTTCCTTTTCCACTTGATTCCTGAGGCTTTTAACTGACGTGAATTTTAAAAATAAAACTTTGCTTTGTTTTGAGAATACGATAGCCATGTAATATAATCACTAGTTTTATGTGTCAAAGGTTGTAACTTATGTGCTAATGATGCTAAAAAAAAAAAATTTGGAGTTTTATTTGCATATGTAAGTTGGAATTCTGCGTAATCATTCTATCATAATTATCATCAGCCCCAAATCCCTTTTTCCATGTCTTAAATAATTTTCGGGGTTGGATAGCCAGAAATGATGTTAATACACAAAGGCTAATACAACTTAACACAGAAGGGCATAATAAATAACTAGAGGATAAAGTGACTAAAAAAAAAAATTCCAAAACACAATTCAATTCTAATTCACGCAATTCTTCTTTTGCCATGTTCACAACAGCCAAATAACAGAGATGGAGCTAAGTCATGATGTGTAAAAATTGCTTTTTGTGTTGAAAATTTCCCTTCAATTTCTGGCTGCACTGGTAAAGCTTATTCAATCCCATGAACTAGTCAGCAGCACATAAGGGAAGGTGAGAGGAAGTAATTTTTGGGGGGAACTGACATCATCACACTGTCCTACTCTCTTTCCAACTGAGTCATTAGTAATCAGGGGTTTCCACTATCTTGTATCAGAAAGTGAGAATGAATTCAACCAAATAAAATGACCCATCCTCTGTGCGCTGCTATAAAGGGCCGAAAGACTATGATAGAGGTTATAAGGATGATGCTCAATCTTGTCTACTGGGAGAGTTGGAAAAGCATTCAAAATTTAAAAAATGATCAGTTTGCTAATCATGATTTCTCATGGAACGTGTAGCAACATTTTGTAAAACTTCAATTGAAAAACTGTCTAGAGATCATTGAAATAAAATCACTATCTTATTATTGGGCGGTTAAGCACAGAACTTTTGAATTATATTGTAAAATTTAGATGTCTATACTAACAGGATATTAGCACGTGATACATATGAAGTTTAATTCAGTGAGTAAAATAATGAAAGTTTCTGTCAAAATTGGCTAACAATTAGAAAAAAGAGAATAATCCTAAATATCTTAAATAAGATTCTAAAATAAATTTTAGATGGATGAAATGTTTAACAACAATGAAAAGCAAAAGACTTGCAAGGAACTCTAACAACTATACTATCTAGGAATCAGAGACACTTTCCTAGTTCAACCCTATATATTCAACTTTGATATGAGGACAATTAATGACATGTTGGGGCACGGGGGAAGGGGTGAGCAGACAGAGAAGGAGGGAGAGGGTGAAGGAAGGACAATAAAAAAAAAAAAAAGAAAAGAAAATAGTGACTCATTCTCACGTTAACTGGATTTGATTTTGACTGCAATACACACTTAAACATTAATTTTTACTTCAACTTGTTAATATGTTGTTTAGGATACAGGATACTGCATCCTCATTTGAAAGTGAATTATGTTTGTAATTTCTCCTTTATAATAATATATTTTGTCCAATATTAATATCAGGTGCCTCCAGATAAAGCAGAATGATTTTGAAGTATTTCTTCTTTTTCTATTGTCTATAAGATTTGGCATGATCTGGTTTTTGAAATTATCTTTTATTTTTATTTAGAAATATTAGTTGCCTATTTTTTGAGACTTTGGGAAAAAATAATAAGAAGTTAATTGGTGACTCTATACTGAACCTCAGAGTCAAAGCATTCTATAATAGTCCTACTTTTATTTGACAATGTGAATGTTACTTTCTTTCTTTGCATTACTGTCATTATTATTGCTTAATACTTTGTTGCAGCAATCGTCAGATTTCTTTTCTGAATGTATTTATCTTCATTCATTCTTTGCAAGGTTTTTGTATCTAGTCCTTATCTTAAATGTTGTTATTATTGGTAAATTTTAAGCCTTTTTAATTCTGTGAAGGCAAAAAATGGAAACCTAATCATCACATGTATATGTAAATAAATAAATAAATAATAAAGTAAAAACTATATTATCGAGGAATCAGAGATACTTTCCTATTTCAAACCTACATGGTATAAAGAAAAGATAAAACAGATTAAAATTTGTATATAAAAGAGATAGCATTAAAACATTAAAGAAGGAGGGGGAGGGAGGGGGAAGGTGTATAGGGGAGGGAGGGTGATTGGTAGGGTCACCTCTATGGTTTATCTTTCAAGGGTACAAGTGAATCTTTCTAAAAGCAGAGTATGAATATCTTAACTCAATAACTAAAAAAATGACATGAAGGCTACGTTAACCAGTTTGATGAGAGTATTTCAAAATGTATATGAAAACACCACACTCTACCCTGTGATTGCATTAATGTACACAGCTATGATTTAATAAAAAAAATTAAAAAAAAATTAAAGAAATTGTTTCTCAGCCTTTTGGCCAAGATCAAGTGTGGTAATCATTCTTATCAGTTTAACATCTGAAATCGCCTCTATCCGATGACAATATATTTAACAGATTTTTGGAGCAAGGAAATGGAATAGGGGTGTGCTTTAGCTACTTCATGCTTCTATCTGGTATTGAACCCCCTCTGGGGATTTGAGGGGAAAAATCTAAAAGAAAAATAATTATTCTAAAACATATAAGTCTAATTATAAAGAATTGTATAATATACAATAGCCCCTTAGGTAAATCTACTCAGTCCTTGGTATCCATGTGTTTCAGGACCCCTTTAGATGCCAAAATTCAAAAAAGCTCAAGTCTCCTCTATCAAGTGGAGTAGTATTTGTCCATGAAGGTCACTACAAAAGTTTTGAGACAGTCTGTGTTATAGGCCATCATTTTATTTCCAAGAAACAATTAACATGATCCTTTCTGATTCACCTACTCAAGTTTCACCTTGCTTGGCTTATTGTCAGGGAAGCTTCACTTGTTTCTATCCACACATATCATGCATTTCTTGATTTTGTGTGTCTCAAATTTTTGTAATGACCTTTGTATAATCTATGCACATCCTTCCATACATGTTGTCCTCTCTCAATTACTTGTAAGACCTAATACAATGTAAATGTCATACAAATGGTTGTTATATCATATTGTTAATTATTTGCATTATTGTCTTAGTGTTGTTTTATTTTTTTCTAACCCTTAGAAGGGTAAGTGATTGAATCTATAGATGTGCCACCTGCCCACATGAAGAGCTGACTGTGCTATAGAACAAAACAGGCGGATGAAAACGTGCAAATTTATAGGAATAGACAATTCACAGAAGAGCAAATCCAAATGAACAAAGACACATAGAAGTACGCTTAATATCACTAACAGTCAGTAGAATGCAGAATTAAGTTACAACTATATGGTATTAATTCTAGTGTCTACAACTCTTTCTAATGGGAAAGAATTTTATGCATTATTATTGGAACTGTGGAGTGCTATAGCCCTTTTGGAAGGCAATTTAGTCATATCTATCCAAAAATAATTGTCATGGTAATCTACCCCATGGAAAGAAAAGTGCTCCCAGGCAATAAGAGCATATGGCTAAGGATGTTTATTCAGACTTGTTTACTCCTGCCAAGAATTGCAAACAAAGAGACTGCCCATTGTCAGGGGAATCACTAGCTTGACTATGGTGTTCCACACCCTGCCGTATTACACAGCCATCAAAAAGAACAGTTTTAAACTCTAGCAGATGATAGTGAGAGAGTTCCAAAATGTTTTGAAGGCTAGAAAAAGAAATATCCTGAAAAAGAACTGATGATGAAAGGAGGCAACGGGGGTAGATGGGTGGAGGGAGGGTGATTGGAGGGATCACCTGTATGGTTTATCTCACAAGGGTACAAATGAATCTTTCTAAGAGTAGAATATAAATGTCTTAACATAATAACTCAGAATGTTAACCAGTTTGATGAACATATTACAAATTGTATATGAAAACACCACCCTGTACCCCATGATTGCATTAATATACACAGCTATCATTTAATAAAAAAATAAAAAACAAATAACTGATGATGTGGATTTTGCTTTTGTAAATCTAACATGTAAATGAGTATCAATTAATATTTAATACTAATCAAAAGAGAAAAATGCATGTGTGTATTGTGTATCACAATAGAAAAAATACAGACATGCATACATGTTATTGAAATTACTTACCATAAGGTGAGATGAAGCATGCTGATAGTACATACAAAAGGGAGAATACAAAATGTGTCCAAGATTTTTAAAAGGTAGATAAATAATATTATATTAGTAATGTACCATAAAACAAAGGCCAGGAAAGAGCAGATAGAGAGAATAAATACATGGGGGGAGTAACGGAAAAATAATTATAAGAACGTTCATTCTCCCTAAAATATTTTCAAGTCGTTTGTGATTCTAATAAACTTGCAGAGCTAACATTGGAAAAAGATAATTTTAAAGCACATATAAAGAATAAACTTGTCTAAAAGAGCCAAGAAATTCTGGACAAGAGAGTAATTTGAGAACACTTGCTTCACTGAAATTTAAAATATGGCATGAAGACACATTTATAAAAATGTCTGGAATTAGCATGTGAACAAAGGTGGCTACAGAGGATAAGCGAAAGTCCAGAAATAAACCCAAATACATATGGGAATATAGTAGCTATGGTAAATGTAGCACTTTAAATCAATGAATCAAATGAACATATTTTAAAAAAATAAATAGTGTTGAAACAATTGTGCAGCCATCTGGAAAAAATAAACTTGGGATTCTTATGTTGTAGCTGCTTCCCAAATAGTGTCCAGATGCCTCAAATATTTAAATTTATAAGATGAAATCCTAAAAAATAAAGAAAATATATGGGGGTATTTAAATCATGACCTCATAGTAAGAAACTCTTCATTTAAAACATAACTCACAGTGTTAAAATGATTGATAAATTTGGCTTGGGAAACTTAAAAACTTCTACAAGGCAAAGAACATCATGAACTCAGTCAAAACATATCACAAAATGGAAGAAAATATTCACTATGGTAGATCGCAGTGCACATTTTTATAATATGTAAAAGTCATTTGCAAAGGAATAGAAACAATCAGGGAAAGGATAGGAACCTGAAACTCACAGGAAAAAAAGAAGAACTAGAAATTTTAGTATATAAACCAACACTCAGATTCATTCATTTAAGAAATAAAATAATTTGGGGTCAATTTTTCACCTACTCAAAGTTGTGGTTTGATGTAGCAAATGTTAAATTTCGTAAAATCAGCTCCATGGCAACATAAAGGGATATCCACATTCTTATGTAGTCAACACTGAACTATTAGGAATATGAGGCCATGATTTATATAATTTACTGTTAAAATCATGTGTATATACACATACTTAAATCATGGGCGTACACATGTATTGATATGCATATAGATGTACATATACGCAGAGACAGAGAGAGAATGACAAAGTAAATAAAACCAGCAAATAAGGTACATTGTGACTAATAAGCTTACCTGGGAAAAGAGCATAGAAATATCTTTGTATCATTTTAACTTTTGCAACTTACCTATACATTTAAAATTATTTTTAAACAAAATTTAAATAACAAACATTTTGCTTAGAGTGAGGAGAAAGCACTTGTGTAATCCGTTGTAGTATATAATTGGCAATAACTATCGCATGTTAAAATGCACGTATCTTTTTATCCAATGATTTCTAGGAAATTTTCCTATCAATGTAATCCCATATGTGCAGAAAGAAGCATGTCCAAAAATACTTATGCCAGCATTGCTCAGGGTACAGAAAAGACTAGACACAATCCCTATGAATGAAATCCGGGGTAAGTGAATTACAACACACACGCAAGGGAATAAATGATGATATTAAAGTCTGAGTTAAATATAGACATAGAGACACGGATTAAAATTCATCATATATCATTAATGAAAAAAGAAACTTCCACATACCTATATAGACTCACTTATTCATAGAATATCTTTAAATAAATACATAGAAACTGGCCACCCTGTTTTGCCTCTGGTGAGGGGAACTGGATAAAGAACTACTAAATGTAGGAAAAAACTTTCCATAGCACATATCTGGTATGTTTGGAATATATCATTTATAATAAACAATACAAAAGAACAGACATGGAATAACATTTTTAAAGACTACTTTGATAATTTATTTAAAGGGCATGTGGGTGATAAGCTTTGAAAAAATCAAAATGATTATCTTCCTTTCTCTAAAAAACATTTTTAAGTAGTCAAATTAATTCTTATACATCAGATGTCTTGCCCCCAACAGAATACCTTTAGAAGCTGACTAGAATGATGCTTCTAAAGGTTTGGGAAAATTTTTTTCACCCCTCAAGATAGGCAGCAAGACGCAGTCCAGTGAGAGCAGTGCTCACCTTTCCAAGTACCCCGATAGGCTAAGCAATGAGGTGGCAGAGTCCTTCTCAATGCCCCTACCTGTTGGCAGTAGCTGGCGTGTTTCATGTAATCAGAATGAATTTCAAAATTTGAAAGACTTCAGTTTGAATCGAGATGTACAATTTATAAGCTGCATGATGGTGAGTAAATTCTTAGGCTTCTTCTGTCACTTCTTGCAGAGATTAAAAACACATTGAAAATAACACAACAATTGTGAGAATGACATGATGGCTATGTTGGCCAATTGGATGAAAGTATTTCACATTGTATATGGAAACAACACACTGTATCCCATGATAGAATTAATGTGAACAAATATGATTTAATAAAAAAAAGAAAATATATTTAAAGTAGCATCTTATACACATAGTCAAGTAACAATACATATTATGATGATCATTGGTTTCTTTGCTATTTTTACTCTTACTGAGTGACTAATGCTGGTCTAACACCTAGCCTTTAGTACACAATCTCAATATTAACTACATTTTATAGCTGTCTTAATGAAGGGATACATAAGAATCCTAGTATGTAAAAATTGAATGTCCCTCACAAAAGAACTAATAGAAGTTGAGTGAAACTGTAAACTATTCGGGAACTAGGAGAGAATTCATTGAACAAGTCACAGGTTAGTCTTCCTGTCTTTGTGCTATTTTTAATCAAAGTTGAAAAGTCAGTTGCTAGTAGTTTTGTGAACATCTTCAGGTTTGGGAGAATTGATGATTAACAATGTTCTGCATCGTGGTATAATCTTATGGACAAATTAATGTATCAGAAAATAATTACCATGTAGGCCAAGTACCTTAGTTTGCTTGTATTAACCATGGAAAAGATTTATCATTGTACCCTGAAGGCAACTGTCATTAGGTTCCTTGATGATGAGTACCATGCATTGCTTTACAATATTAGAGCTCTTGACATCTAGCAACAGCAGGTATAAATATTGATGAAGTAAATGAATGAATCAGGTAGCAAACCTAGAGGATTTCCCTGGTTTCTCTGAAGATGGGGTACAGAAAATCTAAGTCTAAAGTGGATTAACTGAGATTCAGTCCTTATGTGTCATAGACTCATTCAACTGCTTATGTTCCTGCCTTTAAAGTCAAATTAAAAAGTATCTCCTACATGGTGAAATTAAATGTTGTGAGAGTCAATAGTACAGAGCTCATCGCTTTGTATTGCTTTGATATGACGGGATTCTCAAAGAATAAAGTGCCACATTAA